TCACGCCCGGCTCCGTAGCAGGAGGGTTCTCTGCCAATTGAAGTCACTAAGACACAGGATTTGGGGACTTCATCAGCAGAGTCAAGGAAAGGATAGGGATGGTTTTGTGGCCTGCAGCATGCAGGGGGTCAGACCAGATGATCATAATGGTCCCTTCTGACCTTAAAGTCTATGAGTCTATGAGCTCCAAGTGTAGACATACCCTTAGTTTAGGATTGTACATATTGGGACTCAAATAGGACAATTTTCATTTCCTTTTCTAGTAAACTGAAAACTGACTGATGAGCTTTTGGAAAAACAAATCAAAAAATGAAAGTGGGGAGTTAAGATCCAGATGGGTCCCATTTTCTTGCACCCCAAATATTTGGGTAGTCAGGAGGATGGTTACAGACGGCCCTATTTGTGCCTTATCTCTAGGAAACATGTACCTGACAGGTTTGCTGTCTCTTGCATTTGCTAAGTGTACAAACTTCAAGATGCTGTTTGCCGATATAAAAATAACTATGGGAGGACTGGAAGGGGAAAGAAAGTCTGTTGGTTTGCTTTATAAATTGGATTAGCTCTTGCTTTCGTAATGCATGGGCCAAACCAACTTTAATAAAATCTGGATGGGATTAAAAGACTAATCTGTGTCTTTGCAACCAGGCTGCAAATATTAGCAGGCCAAGAGTTTTCCGCAGACATTGAAGGCTACAAAAAGAGCAGTGAGGGAGATTTCTGCTTTTCCAAAGTACCGGCCTAGCCCTAGGACCCAGACAAACACCTCCCTATCTCCCTCCATGGAGGAGTTGGAGATAAGGAGGTGACTATGATGTGGTGGGGATAATCCCATCCCAACAGCAAGAAAGCATTGCTGACAGCAGACTAGCGTCATATGAGAATACTTCAGTATGGTTAAGCAAAACCTTGGAACACTTTGATCTGCACTGTGGCTCCTTGAATTAAAACAGATCCAGGCTAGGCAGGGCTGGCTGTTACAGGGTTAGCTGTCGTCTTGCCTGATATCCCATCTGAGCATGTTAAACAGGACCCCCCCAGCACAAGCAGAGATATGGGGCTCATTACAATGTTCACTTCACTACTTACTTCCAGACGGGCGCAAGAGAGGACTTTAAAATAATGTAACTAAAAGCATGCCCTTCAGTCAGAATAAACAGTTATGGAAATGAGTCTGAACTGAAAGGTGGAGGGGGGAGAGTTTGGGGGGGGGGGGTTGGATTTCAAACTCCCCAAAGTTGGAGGGGGGGGATTGGATCCAGAGCTTTGACTCAGGCCCGTCTTTACACAAAGCTTTGTCTAGATCTTTCCATCTGAGGATACCAAAGTGCTTTCGAAACGTTAAATCTCACACAGCAGGAGAGGGGCCAAGATTAGAATCTCGAACCCAACTCTCCTCTGAACTGTGGCGTCTTTGGACAGGGCAGAAGGATTCAGTTTGAATCGCCAGATCTGAATCGCCCCTATGGTTTTGGATCCCAATCTGGAAGGCGACTGTTTTCTAGTTCCAGTTCAGATGGAGCCAGATCATTTGGGGAAACGTCCTATTGGATGTACCAGAAAATGGGGACCTTCCTATAGGTGTTTTGAATCGCCCTGTAGCATTCTATCCATGGTAGAGAACTCTGCCTGATGGTTTAGAGAACCCTGGGGAAAGGATCTCCTTTTGCATAAGTTCAGTCATTTCTATAGAGTCCTGTTAGAGTTCTATGGAGCCGTGCTAGTGTCGTCCTTGTTGAATGCCATAAGATTTTCCTGTAAATCCAGTGGGCAGATCTAGCTGGGGGATGCGTTGCGCCTCCTTGGAACACCCTTTCTCCAGGCTGGTAGAGAGCAGAAGTGTCATTCAAGGATTATTGCACCTAGGCCTCCTAGTCTGCCTCAGTCAAGCACTTCTCCCAGCCACCCCCGCTGGCATAGGTGCAGGAACGAGGAGTGCTACCACACCCCCTGACTTGAAGAGGTTTCCATTACATAGAGGGTTTACAGTTTGGTTCAATATCTCTCAGCACCCCCACTATACACATTGGTCCAGTACCCCTGCATGCTGGTAGTCCTCATGAACTGCACCTAAGTCAGAAAGAAGTTGCCACCTCAGAATTTAACAACGAAGGAAGAGAGAGAGTTAAAACGGTGGGAATCAAAGATGTCCGGTTATTTCTAAGAAGCTGAAAAATGGGATCAAATTCAGAACATAAATGACCAGCTCAGAGGTTACATTTGGCAAGTAAGCAGATCACTGCTGATTATTTATTTATTTATTTTGATTTCTCTGGTGCCCGTCCAGAGGTCTAGACCCTTCACCATAATTAACACACATAGATAATTAAAGCATTACTTTGAACCACTTGCAAATGAGTCAAAGCACTGGGGCCAGAGATCTCTGTTTCTCTATTTCTGGGTACGCTCAGAGGAAATAAACCATGACTGTAGCACAGGGTGAGTTCACCCTTTACATGCTACAGCAGCACTGCCGTAGAGCTGCAGCTGTGCTAGCGCAGCGCTTCATTGTAGCCACTTACTACAGCTATGAGAGGGGTTTTCCTGGCGACGTAGTCAATCCACATCCCCAAGAGGCGTCAGCTAGATCAGTGGAAGAATTCTTCCATTGACCTAGCTGGGTCAACAGAACTTGAATGTAGACCTGGCTTCAGGACTAGACTCCAGTCTAATTCTTTTTTCTTTAAAATGTAACAAGCTTTAACTTCAAAGATATCCTGCAGCACTGAGTTCCACAGGTTTAAAATGTACTCTAGTTTTTTTTCTCCACTGGAAATCAGCTACCTTTTCAATACTGTTGAATGTACTCAGTTAAAGTGCATACACGTGTGTGCATATAAATACCTTGGACTTACTGCACTGAAGCCTTGAAGTAAAGAGGAGTGAGCTT